CAGCTTGCCTCTTCTCTAGCTCCCCAGGTGGCCTCTGATGCTATTGTCTTTCTCATTGCCCATCAATCACGCCTTTTCCAAGGTTCCTGTGTATGTATTCTGCATTGGGTCCTGGCTGGCACTTCCATGTCATCGAGTCATCTCCAGGCTCCAGCAGGGGGCAGCTCTCTCCCTTTCCCTTCTCTTTCCTAGACATAGCCCTCTCCTAATCTGGGGATTCTCACAGCTTCGGTCACAGGGGCTGGCCTTTCAGACCAAGGTTTTGTCCTTCCCCTGCTCTTGGAATCTACCTTGACCTTGCTTGGCCTTGTCGCTCTGACTGCTGCGTATAAAACTAACTCCGAGATGAAGAACTCTTTATTGTTGTTCCTTAGAATCAGCTCCCCAGATTGTGGCCACCGAGAACACTTTGGGTACAGAGCCTGTTGGGCATGAAGATTTGGAAACCATCACGCTGAAGACGGAGGAGAAGCTCTTCATCGCTGTATGTAAATAGTTGCCTGTGGAGATAAGTATCTGTTTTACAGCCAGTGAAACAGGTGATCAGATACAAACCCTTCAAAATTCCCACTCCCCTAAGTGTGGTCCTTGGACCGGCAGGCCTAGCACCCCCTGGGAGCTGGTTAGAATGCAGACTCCCAGGCCCCACCCAGATCTACTGATTTGAATCTGCATTTTAAAAAGATCTCCCCCAGGGGGTTCACACATTGTACATTCAAGACTGAGAAGCGCTGGCCCAAATGATTTCCCTGGCACTACGTCTACAAAACTCTTGATTTGTTTTCCCCAAAGAAGTTACACTGCTAGGCCGTTCCGTCCAGCTAGCCTTATACATAATGGCTGAGAAAGTTACATTTATCATCAGAGCCTCTAAGCTCCTTGGACAGCTGCCCAGCAAGTGGCTGATGCCATCTTCCTGTCCAGCTTCCTGATGTGGCTGGTTGTCCAGTGTCCGATCCCCCAATACCCGTTCGGTGAGGGGCAGCCTGACCTTCTGAATATCTCAGCCTCATGAAGCCTCTCCTTCCTGAAGCTCTGTTTTGATAAGTCTCAAACGCTTCGGCCCAAGGAATGAGCACCATGAAAACGTACACATTTTGTCACCCCCCCCACCCCCCAGGAACGGGAGTGTGGTGGGGCAAGCAGTGAGTGGGGAGGCATTTCTCGAGCCTTTAGCCTCACACTTAGTGGGCAGCTGGTGCTCACTGTGCTCACCCGGAAGGACAGCCTGCTTCTCTGCCCATGAGTGAGCTTTAAACCCCTGGGCACAACTTTGCCCCCTGCCCATTCTCTTGATACATTTCTAAACTGTGTTTCATTTCTAACTGCACAGTTGCATGTGGCTCAATAAGACAAACTGAGTGGGTTTCTAGTTTTCTGGGCCTATGTATACGAAGAAACAAAACTGGGCGATTAACCTCTAGCATGTGAGAACCAACTGTATACAAGGCAACTAATAGCTAACACTTATTGTTCTTGCCATTTATCTGGCACTGTTCTAAATACATCTTGTATTGATTGCTTTACCCTACCAAGAACCCTGAGAGATAGGTACTATTTTCATCCCTATTTTTCAGATGAGGAAATTGAGGAACAGAGAGGTTAAGCAACCTGCCCATGGCTACACAGCTAGGCAACAGTAGAGGAGAATACCAACCCAGGCAGTCTGGCTCCAGAGTTCAGGAATGTAACACACGGTGCTGCCTGCCTCCATGCTGGAGCGGTTGCTAGAGATAAAGACACCGCAAACACAACACAAAGCAAACACAAAAGCCCTTCTAGTTTGGGGGAGGTCCAAAATATACTCATTTTACAGCACAGAGCCCTGAGGCTAATTTGTACATAGAAGGTGCACTTGATTTGGGCTCCATCATGTCCTCCCAGATGACCTGGCTGTATCTCTAATGACAAAGCCAAGTGAAGAAAGATGTGGAAATTCTTCAAACATGCCACACCTTGCAAATCGCATTCATTGATCAGGTCCAAATACTTGAAGTAGCCACACGTGTGTGTTTTGTGCGCGTGCACGGGGCTGCCTGAGGGGTTGGTCACTCCCCACTGCCCCTCCATGCTTTGCTTGCACCTGCCCAGGCTCACTGCGCTGTGTGGCTGCACCTGCCTCCCCTACCAGCGTTCAGAGTGTGTATGCCCTCCTGGTGACACGGGCTCATTTGCTCTTTCAGGACCTACCCGACTTGGAAGATGTTGATACAGGCGACTCTTTGGAAGACAAGGACAAGGTTATAACACAGGTTTTCCCCAAATCAGCATAATCCCACTTTCCCTTCCAGTCTTGCCATGTACAAAGCATATCACTTTAATTCGAAAGTAAGAAGGTTTTTTGTGCTGAAATCATTGCACACCTGCTATATTTTCACCTTTCAAAAGGAAATGCAGCTCTTGGCCGTTGCCCCCCTCACCCCCCTTCTTAAAGGTTTTATGATTAACCACTGGGGTTTTCTTAAACATATTTTATTACTGATCTTTAATAACTATGTACTCCCTGACATTTTTCTGCTCTTCTGATGTACTTATATGTCCGTCTTATATAGCACGACTACAGCAATACAGAAAGAGAGTAGGAAAGGAGAAGGGGGGGAAGGAGGAGTGTGTGAGGCACAATGGGGTGATCTCCCAATCTGACCTGACCCTCCTCCTTCCAGCATTACCCAGGCCCATGGGAGAGGAAAGGAAGGATAAGACAGAATTTGTGCAGGACCTCGTCACTGAGGAAGAGACCAGACACGAGACCACAGTTCCCATGGGGCCTGACCTCCAGGGGGCTAAGTCTGGGTGGCGGGGTTAGGTGTGTCAGAGGCCAGGACTCAGAGATGAGCCCATTCAGGGCCCCGGCAGGGTGTGGGTGTAGCCAGAACAGTGGGCAGCATGGAGACCCATCAGAGGGTGAGAAAGAAACGTGGATATGGTTGTAGAGCTCACCACGACTTGGGGGCTCAAAATAGCTGGCTAAGGGTGTCCACCCCGAGACCCAACTTTCCAAGGGGCAGGGCTCTGCTCCCGTGGCCCTTTCCTGTATGTGGCAACCGAATATTTAGTGCTGGATAAAAGTGGAATTAGCACTGTGCATTTCAGAGTGATTCCAGTGACAGCAGAAATGTTCAAAGGCATCTTTTTTAAAAAAAGATGTGCTTTCCAAAGATCACAACCATCTCGGGCTTGAGTGACGACAGTGATCCTGAGCTGGACGACACCTCACTCCCAGTGCTGGAGAGCACGTTCACACACACCCTTTCCAACATATTCGCAATCTCCAAGGACACCGCCAGGAAGGCTGAGGCGCCCTATACGCACATATTTAAAGCAGCAGCCGAGAGGGACTTGGAGACCCAAAGTGGGGACACCACGTGCCCACGCCCGCTGATTCAGGAGCTCAACGATGACGACGAGTCTTCGGACCAACCACTGACACCCCCAACCTGCAAAGGGGACGCCCCACCACCCGCTTCCAGTGACGGGTACGATGACCTACCTTCGGCCTCTCCTCCAGGTAACGCTGCCCTACTCTCAAGGCATTCCCAGGCGGGTGGCATCTCCGGGCTTCTTAGGGGCATGCAGATCTTGGCAGTCAGGTTCAGCAGGTGTAGACGGGGCTGGGGAGCCTGTTTTAACCCCTTTCCTCACCATCCCAATCCTCAGCCTTTTCAGACCAAGGCTTCTAAGGGAAGGGGGAGACCGGTGACACCACAGATGGGAGTATGGGGACGCAGGCCTGACTGTGGCCCCTCCACAGTGAAGGTCCAGAATCGGGCAGGACGGGTGAGACAGTGCTGGGCGGGAAGGTTGTCCAGGCAGGGACAGTGGTGAGCAGCTGGCTGGGTGGGACAGATGAAGCCACAACCTATTAGCCTGGTCTGGTGATGGGGCCCGAGCCTGTGACCAGGGAGATGCAGTTGTGGGGGTGCTGGCCAGTGCTTACTGATCACAAGCAAACTGGTAGGGATTTATTCAGCAACTGCAGTGGGAACACAAACCTAGACAATTCCTGCCCTTCCTCGACACTCAGGGGCCAGGTTTCTCTCGGGACGCCTGCTTGAGTGGCTGGCTCTAGGCCTGCCTGCGGGAAAAATGAGGGGGTGGCCATATGTCCTTTCCCAGGAACACTGAGCCACCTTTCCTCTTAGGAAACAGCACTGAAGAGGAGGAGGTGCAGCCTGAGCCCGCAGTGCCCCTGGTGGGGGCAGACCTGGAAGACATTGAATTTGGCTTGGACTGAACCCCCAGGCGGCCCCTCTGCCCTTGCACTAACAGGGAGCCAGCAGCAAGGTGCAGGTCACCCCCTGGGCCGGGCTCCCTTCCTTCTCCAATTCCTGAAAGTGCTCTGGGGCCTGGGCTGTGGCGTGTACTGTTGCACGACTCATCCCTCCTATGCTCTCTCCCTGCAGTGTCGGGCAGCACTGTGTTCCTTGTTCTCAAAGCACAACCCATTTCCCCTGTTACTTGTGGTATAAATTGTACAACCGTCAGTGTCTCATTTGAACATTATAAACATTTGAGTATTCCCGTGAGGTAATGTGTTGTCAAATTATTTAATATCTGCGCGAGTCACATGAGCCATTTCATCAGACACCCTGAGATAAGGCCATTCCTCTCTCCACGTGTGATTGATCTGGAGCAGATCCGGCGTCCTGTGCAATTTCAGGTGGGTGTTTTCCTCACCAGACAGCACCATCTCCCACCAGCTACAGAGCTTTGGGGAAATGAACTTTATGCATTAGACATCAGAAGCAACGTAAGTGCCCTAACCGGTTTGGCTCAGTGGAGAGAGCATCGGCCTGCGGACTGAAAGGTCCCAGGTCAAGGGCATGTACCTTGGTTGCAGGCACATACCCAGTAGGAGGTGTGCAGGAGGCAGCTGATCGATGTTTCTAACTCTATCCCTCTCCCTTCCTCTCTGTAAAAAATCAATAAAATATATATTTTTAAAAAAAGCAACGTAAGTGAATACCTCCAAGTCCTAGAAACTATCATTCAAAACCATGCTCAGGCGACAAATTTATTCAATCCCTAAAGATGGGTCCAAAGTGTCTCCCTCTAAAACATCAGCTCCTGGGAGAAACTGTACCACACACAACCGAGCCCACAGCAGCTGCCCACACCCACCGACCACCAGGCACCAGCAGCTCCTCAGTGTCTCGTTTCACTGTCCCGACCACGGCGAGGAGCTGACTAGGGGACACAGCCTACATGAGGCGGAGCCAAGGGCCTGACTAGAGCCCCCGCGTCAAGCACAGTGCTGCCTCCTGACGACAGACCCTCAGGACAGGACCGCTGGGGCCTTCAACCCGCCTCTGGAAGTATCTTCAGGAAAAGGAGAAACTACAGTTTTGTTGTTCCTATTCCTCCTACTTGGCTCCAAATCATGTTTGGACGCCTCCCATCACAGTGGCCCCCAGAAAGCAGGTCTGTACCCTGAGACTGTTCCCTCTCCACTCCCTAAGTTCCAGCCATAGAAGGCACAGCTGGTCCGGGACCAGGGGCTCCCCAGAGGTGGGGGAGCAGCTTCCCGGGCCCTCAGAAGCCCATGCGCGGCTTCTTCCGGTGTGGCTGAGAGCCAGAGAGGACGCGCACCTGCTGCCTGGAGGGGGTGGCCCAGATGCTGGAGGTCTGGGAGGAGGGCGCAGTGGCACCTTCCGGGGTGTCCCTGTGGGGTGGCAGCTCAGCTGTGCAGTCCCGGAGGGTCCGCTGTCTGGAGGGGGTGGCCCGGGTACTGGAGGTCTGGGAGAGGGATGCAGAGGCACTTTCTGGAGTGTTTCCTTGAAGAGGTAGCTTGGCCATATAGTCCCGAAGGGTCTGCTGTCGCTCTGAGGGGATACCCTGGGCCCACAGATCCTGGGTCAACTCCTGGGAGGGCAAGGTCACTGGGGACCGAGGCCTTGACACAGGGGACGTCCAGTCTGGGCTGTGAGGGGGGCTGGTGGCACCCGAGAGGTCCAGGTGGCCGCTGAGCGAGGAGAAGGTATTGGACAGCTGCATCCGCCGCTTGTGCCGCTTCGGCTGCCTCCCGGGCCCGGAGGTCCTATCCTGCTGCTGCTCCCACCAGGCAGCCATCGGGCCTTCCCAGGCTGCCTCCAATCGCTCACTGAGTTCATCCTTGGGGCCCGGCTCGGGGCCCGGCGGTGGCTCTGCTGTGGGAAGCGAGCCCAGGTCCCTCTGCTGCAGTAGCCGCCCTTGGGCCATGGCCGCCCGGAGACCCTCTGGCACTTTCCCTTCAACCTTCTGCTGCTCCTTGAAGCTCAGCAGACGGCGGTGGGAAAAGGTGGGTGCGGCCCACACAGGGGGAGCCAGTGGCACCTCCAGAAGGGCCTTCAGCCACCTGCGGCAGCAAGCAGTGGCCTGGGGGCTCCAGGAAGCCGTGGGGGCATGGCAGTTGGGCCCGGGGTCACTGGGAGGCCTGGGGTCTTCCCGGAGGTGGAGGCGCTGGTGGAAAACATCTCCAGCCGCTGAGAGTTGGAAGAGCGACAGGACTGGTGTGGAGGAAGAAGATAGGATGGTGGCGGCCAGACCTGAAGACAGAAATGACAGTGAGTCCAAGGCTGGCAGGGGTGCAGCCCCCCAAACTCACTCCCTCAGCCCAGCACACCTATGGTTGGCGCTTGTAGACGTTCCTGCAGCTGCCACTGACTCCTGGGCTCCAGCAGAGGGAATGCGGAGAGGGAGTCGCTCCTGGAAGGGAGAGACTGGGGGGGCCCTGCCAGCCGGGGTGTGGAGGCCCCCTCCCCTGGAAGAAGGACAGGCAGCTGAGGTCCTGTCCAGGCTCCAGCCCTGCCCGTCTTCCATGTGCCTCCTGCCCTCACTGGACCTCACCTGTGATGTGCAGCAGCTGCAGCTGCCCCCCCTGGCCTCCGAGGAGCAGCGGCCTCGCGCAGCCAGGGCGGGGTGGAGGCAGCAGCTGGGCCAGCAGGGGAGCCGAGGGGAGGCTGTGGTCCCACTTCAGCACGGGCACCAACGGGAGGCGTTCATCCATCAGGTAGAGTGAGAACTGGAGGCCCGAGCAGAAACGAGACAGAAGGGACATAACTGAGATGGAGAAGAGGGTCTGATGTGGCCCCATGTGGCTCTCAGGATGAGTGCAAACCCCCAAGTGGTCATGCCCTGTGCCTGGCCCTGACCACCTCTCCACCTTCATGTGCCCAGACCCACACAGGAGCATTTCCCAAGTGGGCAGCACCATCTTTCATCCTGATGGCACAGCTGGGAGCTCAGGAGAGGTGTGGATATAAACTCACCCAGCTTTCACCCAGCCTTCTCCTGACTCACCAGACCCTGGAACCTATGCTTGACACACCTACTAATGCCCTGTGTGTCTGTGTGTGTGGAGGAGGGCGGGGCGGGGCGGGCACGTAGTGTGGTGGGGGGCTAGACCAGGGGTGGGCAAACTTTTTGACTCGAGGGCCACAATGGGTTCTTAAACTGGACCAGAGGGCCGGAACAAAAGCATGGATGGAGTGTTTGTGTGAACTAATATAAATTCAAAGTAAACATCATTACATAAAAGGGTACGGTCTTTTTTTTTTTTTTTTTTTTTTTTTTTTTTTTTTTTAGTTTTATTCATTTCAAACGGGCCGGATCCGGCCCGCGGGCCGTAGTTTGCCCACGGCTGGGCTAGACCCTCAGGAACCATCAGACCTCCTTCCCTTTCCTGAGCACACGGGGAGTGTCCAGCGTTGCAAAGACTGCTCTCCACTCCATGCCTTTCCTCCTCACCTGGCCCATCTCCACCAGCACCTCAAAGCCCTGTTCAGTTGTCACCCCCGGGAGGCTGTACCCACCCGCTAGTTAGCATGTTTCAGCCAGACACTCATTAGGGTTTCGTGATTCTTATTTCACCTGCAGTTAGCTGTCCCAGAACCCTCTCTAGGGGCTGGCTGAGACAATGCACAAGGGACAGGAGGGGGAAGGTGGCACTCACCTGGGTACAAATGAGATGGAGTGTGGGCTGCAGAGAATCGGGGCCGCACTCCCCCAGGTACTGGGTTAGCAGGACACGTTCCCCTTTCTGGCATGATGCTTCCGCACCCACACGGAAGAGCAGCAAACCACAGCCTGGCGGGCCCTGGGGAGAAAGCCAGGTCAGCCCTCCCACAGTCCGAGGTTTGGGGCACCTCCAGTCTATTGGATTCCCTGGCCCTGCTGCTTCTCATGCCCTGGGAGGCCCCATGCTAGCCCCCACCCCATGATCTGCCCTATCCCACTGCTGAGCCTGGGACAATCCCCCAGCTCTCACCTGAGTGTCGATAATTTTCACTCCAGTGCGGTCACCCACAGTCAGAACCCGAGGGTGGGCAGTGAAGTCTGCCCAACGCCAAGGAGACGGGTCCCGAAACACAAGGGTCTCAGGATCCTTGTAGATTTGCTGAAGCCTTGGGGAGACATGGGTGGGGAGATGGGCAGATGGGGTTGGGAGCAGATGCGGGGCAACCTGGCCCTGGGCCCAGGACATATTGTGTGCGAAGTATGGGCTGCAGTTCAGGGGGAGTTGTATGTGGGGTGGAAGGTTTTTGGGGAAAGGGACATTACCCGTCATGGGGTGTCCACAGACAAACGGCTCCCGAACGGCTGCAGACAACCAGCTCCCCGGGCAGGTGAGGGCTACAGGGCATAAGTGTGATTAGTGCTATGCCACTCCCTTCTCCCGTGCCTATCTCTTTGCCAACCAACCCAATTTAGCCCCTACCTGAGGTTGATCCCCGTGGCCCCCTTCTCAACCTTTAGCACCTGGAGTGGGGCTGGCCGCCCCTGCCTGCTGACCTTCCACAGGGCACAGTGGTAGTCAGAACGGACAGCCAGCAGAGCTGAGGAGGGATGGAGAGTGTCAGGGTCAGGCAGCAGGTCAGCGGGCAGGGAAGTAGCTAAGGGTCTTACATTCTCCCTGCACGGCGCAGGTCACCACCTGCCGGACAGGTCCTCGGAGCTGAATGTGGCCGGGGTTCCCAAGGATCCGAGGGTCACTGCCTGGGGTCAGACGCACCTCTTGGAAATCTGGGCCTCACGCTAAGGATAAGTGCTATAAGCTTGGGTCACTGAGGGCCCCCCAACTCCTTGCCCTTCCCCTGGACCATGCCAAGAGCACCTCCTCCACTAGAGGGAGCTGGCTGGGATCCTGCCCAGCAAGAAAGGATACACAGCTTGTCCAAGGCACCTCCTGCAGGGTAGACCAGCTGCCTGATCCGGGGTGTCCTTCCGGGCAGCCAGGCCAATGCGCCTCCGGTGAAAGCATCGTCTAGGAGCAGCTGCTCCCACCGCATCGCCAGCTCCTCATATAGCAGCTCTCCCAGGAGGTTTGACACTGACTTGCCCAGGATCGGGTCCCCGAGGATGGAGAACCGGCGCTGTCGGTGGCTGAAGTAAGCCCAGGGACACCTGGGGACAAGAGGATGGCAGGAGGATCAGGCTGTAGCAGTGATGTGGAGGACGGGGTACCATCCCCAGAGAGGTCAGGTGCAGTAGACACATTTTTAATCTACCTAGAATTTCTTCCTGTAGGAACCAACCCACCCTATTCCCGTGCCCCGGCCACTTGAGTACTCCATCACCCCGGCCATAGTGATTGGCTCACAGATGGGCAGGACAGCCGAGCCAACCAGCAACACCCTTCCTGGGACGTCTAATGGTGCCCCAGGAAAAGTCACTGGCTCTTTCCTTGGAATCATAAGCCATCTTGCTGCACTTGGAAACTGCCTACGAATTAAGCCAGGCAGGGGCAAGTGGATGAGAAAATAAAGAGACAAAGCCCTGTTTCAAACATTATTTAAAACTTTGGACGCAGCCATGCCTGCAGCCCATGAATTTAAATTCCCATATCCCCTTAGGCTAGTGGAATTGGGAGTTTTGCAGGAGTATCATGGCTCATGACTGCATAGGTTGGGGAGCAATTGTGATGGAAACTTGGATCCATCCATGTCTAGTACCTTCCACATCCCCAGCACCAGCTAGGTCTACCCACCCCATCCTTTCTCACTAGCCACTTGCCCCCAGGGCTGGTGTCCACCGAGGTCCTCGAGTATCCTCTTCACACTGACCACTGTCTTCTTCTTAGAGTAGCTCTGCATGGAAAGGCCTTGTCAAGCTTGCATCCTAGGGCTCCCCCTGATGTGAGATGTGAAATGGGAGCCCCTCTCCTGGCCAACCAGGGTTACTCACCCGTGCTCCCTCCAGTTTGAAATTCTCCAGCATCAGCTTCCCCAGGGAGGCAAAGGCTATGTCACCATGGTCCCACAGGAACCGGCTGAACTGAGGGAGGAGAGAACACCAGGTCATTAAGCACAGCTCCAGCCACACAGCACTGTCCACTGTGGGGCCACTCACCTGTTCAGTAACGTCCAGCACAGCCTGGGGCTGTCTCCGGAACTTGGGAGCTCCCCGGAAAAGCAAGTCCTGGGCAGTCAGGCCAGGGTCCCAGGGATCTGAGAGAAGAGTAAGGTTGGGGAAGGGGTCAGTCCTGGGGACTGGGAAGAGCCCAGAAGTGGGGCCACGTGTCCCAAGTGACTGGAGGTACTCAAGGACCCTGGAGGTGGAGGGCATTAGCAGGGAGAGGGAAGGCCTTAGGGAGGAGGGAGGAATGGAGGACAGAAGCAACAGGAGAGCAGCTTGGGAGAGGGCCCCCAAGGACCAAAATCCTTACCTGGACCAGGAGGCAGCAAGGGAAGGGGTCCAGGGGTGTCCGGCTCCCAGAGCAGGCCCTTGGGCAAGTGTGGCACCCCATTCTGCGGAAACGTGACCATGACAACATAGCAGTGAGTGCACTCCCAGGACAGGCACTGTCACCAGTACTTGTCTTTTATTAACACATCCAATCCTCATAAAGAGCCTGCTGAGTTGGTACGATGATCATCATCGCTTTACTGATGAAGAAATGGAGGCACAGGGAGGCTGTCACTTGTCCCAGGCCTTGTTGAGAGGGTGGCACTTGGCACAGCCTGACAGCCAGTAAAGAGAAGGGCTGGGTTTGAACCCAGAAAGTCTGTGCCTTTGACCTCCAGGCTGCACTGGCTCTCAAAGGAGCCCCCTGTACCATTACTGGCTGACCTGAATCCTATCTGGTTCTCATTTCCACTCAGGACATCTCATGGACTTAGTTCGGACACCCGAAGGCCACCCCATTCCCCACTGCAGGGCTGGGGATGGCTCAGCTCAAACACACAGGGGATGGAAGAGTTGACAAGCCTTGACCAGGAATCAAACCGGCAACCTTTAGGTGCACGGGACGATGCCCAACCAACTGAGCCACACTGGTCAGGGTGCCTAGTGGTTTTAATATAATACTTATTATCTGGCAATAGGATACCAGGTAAGTGCTATTATATGACTTAAGCCCTTCCTCATCGAGAAAGTCTCACTGTACCCTCCCTAGGCCCCCACAATCCCTTAATTTTCATACCCACTTGCTTCTGCCTGGAGTGGCCCTTGGCCAGCCTGTCTCCAAGTAGCAGCCAGGTGGTTTAGGCTTCCAGGGAAAGAGCTGCTGCCCTTCCTGTCCCAGAAGGTCTCCCCTCCCCTCCCTGCCTCATCCCCACTGTGCTGTCTCAGCATATTTTTGGTTTTGCTCAAAGCTATTATCACACTTTGTAATGATTTTGTCCTGTGGACTGCTCACTTGTCTATTCCCACTCAATCCAACTCTAAGTTCCACTGGGGCAGGGAGAACATCCGACTTATTCATGTTGGATTCCCAGGGCCTAATGAGGCATCTGGCACATTGTAGGGGCTGTTCAATGAGTATTTGTCGAGCAAATAGGGGGAGGAGAGTCTGGGGAGAGAGGTAGGAAAGAGCAAGCCAGCAGCTCCTGCTCAGTAAACCCTCTGTAGATGGCAGGTCATCCCATGGACCCCAGAGGAGGGGATTCTGGCTCAGCCTGAGACTTGCTGACCACTCTATACTCCTGCCAACTGGTGTAAGTGCCAGAAAACAGGCCAAGTGAAGGTACCCACCCCGGAGCCGCCAGGGCTCTCCAGCCTCCTCACCTTGGAGTTCTGGGGCAGGGACTCTGGCAGGGTCAGGGCATCTCTCCAGCTGCACATGAAGGACGTATCAGGGACATCGCTCAGACCAAGGGGGCCGGTCATAAACAACGTGGGGCGGAGGGAGCTGGGGAAGTCCATCCTGGAAGACACTGGCCTTCTCAAAGGCCTGAATCTGACCGACGGCCTCCAGGCTTCCTGGGAGAGTGAGTGAAAAGGTTGCCAGTTTGATTCCTGGTCAAGGGCACATGCCTGGGTTGCAGGCTTAATCCCTGGTTGGGGGCATGCAGGAGGCAGCTCTCACATTATCGATGTTTCTCTCCCTCCCCCTTCCTCTCTCTCTAAAAATCAATAAACTATTCTTTAAAAAATAAAACCAACTAACCAACCATGAGGGAGGAGATAGCAATGGGCCAAGGGTGTGATTTTAGCCATAGTAGCTAGGAAAAGCCTTGTTGAGAGGGTGGCATTTGGCACAGCCTGCACAAAATGAGGGAGAGAACCTCAACTAGGAGACGGTTCCTGGCAGAATAAATAGCAAGTGCAAATGTCCTGGGGCAGGAAGTGTTTGAGAAATAACTAGGAGGCCATAGAATGAACAAGAAGAGTGGTAGGGGATGAAGTCAGACAGGTGGCGAGGAGTCAACTTCTATCGTTGCTGTTAGGTTTTATAATTACATATTTGTAGACTACCCATGCCCTATACTCAACCTACACTCTTACTACTAACCCAAGTTCCCCAAAGCCAGGGACTGAGGCTTATTTCTGTCAAATACAGTTCCTTCCAGAAAATGTACTATGTGTTGAATAAAAATAAACTTAGTGAAAGAGCTTTGCTTAAATACAAAATGCTCTAGAAGTATAAGTAGCCACGTCATCCCTCTTTTTTTAATTAACATCTATACTAATAAAAGGGAAATATGCTACTTAAACCAGACGTCTTCTTCTGGATGTCCTCCTGGACAAAGCCATGGTGGCGGGGGCAAAGGCAGAGGTGGTTAGGGGCGACCAGGCCAGCAGGGGGGCAATCAGGGGGTGGCCAGGCTGGCAGGGGGGCAGTTAGGGGCCAGTGGTCCTGGATTGTGAAGGGATGTCCCCCGAGGGGTCCCAGATTGGAGAGGGTGCAGGTAGGGCTGAGGGACCCCCCTCCCCCATGCACGAATTTCGTGCACCGGGCCTCTAGTAAAAAATAATAGCAGTGCTCCCTTACTGACTACAAATATCTGCCAGACATGGCACTACATATTTTATTCTTCTGTTTGCCCTATTTTGGAGTTCAGGAAACTGAGGCTCAGGAAAGAGCCGCTTGCCCAAGGCCAACAGCTTGATCCCCCGACCGATTGGAAGTTCAGGTTCCACACCACTACTCTCCGGTGCATCCAAAAGCAAACACTAGCCATGGGGTCTTAGTAAGCACAGATCTTTCCCCTTGGAACTGCCACTGCATTTTGTCAGTTTATCCTGTAAGCTCCGTGCATCCATGTATCCATGTATCCTTATGACCATGCAAAATACCCGTCACAGTAAATACTTGTCAAATGAATGAATATGTCTCTCTGGCATGTCAGCCTCACTCTAACTGTGGCTTATATGTATCCTCTTATCTCTTCCACTCGACTGCCAGCTCTCTGAGGGCCAGAACCGTATCGGATTCATTCCTGCGTTACTGGTGCCTGGCTGCTGGCGTCATTCTCTTTTCCAAACCCAGAGCGCGCAGTGGCAGGAACCAAAGACGTGCTCAGTGAGTCCCTGTGAAAAAACAGGCTTCCATAGGACCGACTGTACCAAAGGCAAGTTAAGGAGCAACCAAGCCTCCCAGAGGTGGCTGCACCCCTGACAAACCAGCACACACACCAAGTCTCTAGCTGGTCTCTAGTTCCGGGCTCCAGTCACACCGCCCTCCTCTCGGTTCTCCCTTACCAGGCTTTTCACCTCGGGGCCTGTGCACACTATCTCTCTGCTCCGAATGAGTGCCAGGCCCTTCCCACCCACCTACAAAGCCCTACTCACCCTTAGGTCTCAAGTCAGGAAGCCTCTCCCAGTTCCCCCAACCCTACCCTCCCGCAACCCTGCATGCTTCCCCCGGAACACGCTGGCTATGGGCAACTGCACATTTAAAGATGAAGCTGCTTGATTAAAAGCTGCTCTAACAGTCCCCATGGGAAAGGGACGTACTTAGCCCCAGTGCCTTGGCATCTGCTACCTGGCAGCCATCAGTACAAGTAAGTCGCGGGAACCAATCCAGGAATAAACGAACGAGAGGAGCAAGGGGCCCAACCGCTTCAAACAAGCCCAGGCGGTCGGAGGGCGTCGGGGGAGCCCACGACTCAGAACAGCCCCCGGACGAGGCAGCGTCGCTTCCCCACCTCACCGCGGCCCGCAGGTCCCTTCAGACTCCAAGGCCGCATCGCTGCCCCGCGGGAGGCGGCAAAAAGGGAGCCCATCGCAGGGGACGGGTGAGGGGATCCGGACGACCCCTCCTCTCACAGCCCTACTCGGCCCTTCCTCCCCACCCGCCTCTCCTCCTCCTCCTCCAGGCCAGCGCTGTCTACCGGCTGCTGCCACGCTTTCCACCTGAGGGCGCAGAGCTAGAGGCTCTGCAGAAGTCGGCCGACTCGTCCCGAAACCGCACTGCTCCCGGCGGCAGACCCGCGCGGAGGGGACCGAGCTCTCCGGGG